CAATCTCTACAATATGCAAGGAATATCGTCCGAAAAGTAGTTCTACTTTTAGGAAAGTAAGCATGAAGGGATATCAAAAGAAAATGTTGCATGCAGGATGCGATGTAAATAAGCTTCAAGAGCGCTACATTTCAATGCATAACAAATATGCAGCAAGTACGCTATACATTTCAGTACATGCAAACGCCCAAAATTGATTCCATCCCGTCCAGCAATGCGAATACTACACCAACTACTGCTAGTTGTATGCACAACATCGTCGCGTATACGTGCTGGTTTAAGCCAGCCATTATTTGCGTACAACTCACTTCCATCAACATTACGCTTTGTTGCATTAATCTGCTCATTCGACAGTATCATCGCTTGACAACAACTAGTCATGGTACGCCTTACCGAATCAATTGTCTACAGCCGAACAAAAGCTGCAGTTGATGTGGTCAAAAAGCTCAATCTTTGGTAATCATTAACGATTAATTTATTGCTCTTTCGATGCAACCCTCAAATTTTCATCAGCTTGAATGCAGGTAAAAACGGATTTGTGATGGTCAGCCAGACCCAAAGACTTGGTGAAAACCAACTTTGGTTGCAAATTCGGCAGCTGTTAAGAAAGCACGGGTTTTTGTTCTTTGTTGAAGTTTCCTCAAAGCTTTTCGTTGGTCGATTGCTGAACGTTTTCTGAAAATCGTATCGAAATAGTTTCATACGATAAGCAAATGCATTTTAGCAGATAAACATTTTCATGCGTGACCAATCTTGAATGAATGATTTCTCATGAATGTTTTCATCGCTTACAGATTAGTACTGATACTAATTTCTTAGAAATATTCCACTGTGCGCTACTTTTGTTTCTACAACTCAAATGAGTGCTTAGTTGAGTTTACGTAAAGATGATATTCACCCATATATATCATTTAATAGTTGATAATTGAGATGTATGGGTGGATATCATTCAGCAAAGCGAAATACGAGAAATATATGATGATAAGTCTTCCGTCACATCGGAAATCAATTATGAACTAAATTTAAAATATCGTTTGATTGAATGAAAGAGGTTAATACTGAAATTTGCGAAAGGACAACCTTCAATCAAAATTTCGTGATTTATTTGATACTTATCGTTGAAGCAGTTCTATTTCTCATATTCACTGTGTGTCTAAATGATTCTTCTAACGAAATGGCGCTATCCACAACAATCGCCTCGTTTCGTTACATGATTTCTGCTGTTTTTTTCTGCACATTCCCTCGATCAGTAGTGCATTTCTGTTACTGACAATGAGCAGCAACCTTCGACTGCTAATCTTTTAATGCACCAGTAACTGCGATTAGCACTGAAATTGCTTTCCTTTTCAAGATCTTCCGAATTTTCATTCACTCGATATTTCGTTAAAAATTTGCCAATACAATTAAATTTCTAGTCGACTTGACTTATAAATGGGATATTTTGATTTTTGTGACAGAACGAAAATTCATAATCAAAAATCAGCAATAACATTTCAGCAACTCATCCGAAAGTCACTCCTGCTTCAATGAGACTTTGGAGCATTTAAGCCTCCCACAAATGCGCATGAAACGAATGCGCATAGTGAGTGGAGTAGTATAATTTTTGCTAATTAAACGGAACACCAGAACAATGCCAATTGTCGACCTTTCGAAGACAATTTAATCTTTCCTTGAGATGCTTCGATAACCTATGAGGAAACAATAGGGAAAATATTAGCTAAATTTTTTTAGCACAATGAAGGTTTGAATCAAAGCACACAAGCATATACGCACACGATCCAGATATTCGTTAAATATTAACATTTTGCAATTATGAGTATATCTGAAAGAAAAATTCGAGTGTGAATTGTGCATGCTCGACTCATGGATAAATATTCGGAACAGAGGAAAAATTTAGTTGACAAATTGACCTTGGCAAAATTTAGTTGAAGAAGGATACTACGAGATCGAGAAAATTAACGCACTGATAGTAAAAAGGTTAAAAAAGATTACAAAAATATCAGGGAAGACAGATGCATTCCGAGGTACGTGAACTAATCTATAACGAAGTCGGACAACTGAAATAAGCAGATTAAAGGATGAGCTCAAAACCGACATATGCCGCCGTTAGATCAACGTTATCATTTAGTCACTACTGCTCTTTCAATCCGGATGGAATTTTTCGTTTGAAGGCTTGGAAAATCGAATGAAGTGCGTTAATTTTCTCGATAAATTGGCAGGGAAGAAGGATACTACGAGATTACGGGATGCAAGCAAGTCATGAAGTGAACGTTCCTCATTATTACAACGCATCAACTGCAACTCATCGTCAGTGGTTGACTCCTACTTATTTAGAAACGAATTACTGCTTGGTCACCGTTTCTGAGCGACGAAAGAGGGTCACGAACAATCTGACCGGTTAATTAAATCGTACAGTCAATTAATTTGTTACGGTGATCATTACAGTGATCTGATAAAGTCTCTAAGTCTGACCTATTCTTAGTCATCTGAAGCATTTGTTTGCATAAGTGAATCAATGAGAATACGTGCACTGATTGTCAGCTGTAGTAACGTTGGTCGTAAGGATGGATAAAATAGATTCGTTTTATTGATAACTGAATAAAGTTTTCGACGTTTTTCAAGTGAATGGTAGAAGTTTCAGCAGTTTTTTCAAATCTTTCTCAATATATAATACACATTCCATATTTGTCTTTTCATTGTTCTCATTTGCATGGACGAAACTAATCTGCCGTCCAAGCGTACCCTTATTTTTCTAATACGATTGAATCAAACCATAAAATTGATACGTCTGAATCCGGATCCTTCTCGGTTGTCGAAAACGATTACTTTGAAAATCAAATCGTTCAGATTTGCCTTTTTCATTGTTTGAAAAATTCCTCGAGTATTCATAAAATACTCAATGAATGGTTTGTATGACACTCTTGTTGACCGTATTTAGCGGTACGTCAATAAACAGAACAAAAAAATGGTGACATTCGTTAATATTGCCAGCATTTCGACTCGTTAGGCCGTAATTAAAGCACAAACACACTGACAAAACGAAACCTTACTGAGAGGTAGTTTATATTAAACAAGAAGGTTTCACCAAATCAATCATAAAATGATGCAAGAATTTGGGTGTGAGAATTGAAATTTTAAAAGTCATGAGAGAAAAGATTCGATTGAGAGGAAAGCTCGATTCAATTATTGGGAAATATTACCATCTTTTTATTCTATTTGTTAACACATCTCAACGATCTCAACCCGGACAATCGTTTATCTCTGATCAGTAGCAAACGATTTGGAAAATCACTTGCACATTCACAGCTGGACGATTCTTGAAGTATGTTTCAATAAAAAATTAAAGATTCGATAGGGAACTACCACTGAGAAATTCAATTTAGACAAGGAATTAGGGTGGTAACGCGGTTCATGGCAAAGCTTACTCAATGGCGATACAAAGTTCCATCTCTCAAATCGGTTAAAATACTATTTGATGCATTAATCGGTTTTGTTTTTTTTGATCAACTTCTCAAAAGTGAAACTAATACGAATGCACACGAAAGAGCTGTTTTGGTCTCGTTTATTTCGGACATGTGCAATGATGCGAATGCGAGCAGCATGATCAATTAAGATCGAATCTGTTTACAATTCAGGTGCTATTTACTGCATCTAATAATGTGACAAAACGTGAACAATTTCACCTCGAGAAGAACGAACTGATTTGAGTTAATGTTGTTTTGGAACCAAACAAAAAACAACGTATCTCGTTGTGCAACCGAAGCAGTTTATAATCAACTCCACTTAACTGTCCCGTAGAGAGATGTTTCGGTTCACGACCATTCTGTCTCGAACTGTTCGACTATCAAGTCTCACTTTTAAGCATGCAGGTGACAAGACAATCATTCTTAGTGAATTTCAATAAGTTCTCAAAGTTTTCGACTTCGATGAACATCATTTATCTGGCGAAACTTAATTTCTGTCCTACAGTGCATTACGTTTTCGGATTTTTGAAATTCAAAGTAGTTTTTTAGGTTTCATTATTGTAAGTGGATAAAGCTACATTCATAAGAGGGATTTATTTGATGTCTCTATAGCAGCAGCTGGAGAAATCGTTTCATTGGGAAGGAATTCGAAAATAATAATGGATAGTGAGCAGGTTTGTTCAAAGAGGTTCTCATCGCAAAAGAAGCTTATGTCACAACTGAGCTTAGTAGTAAGTGATACCCTTTCAGAGCTTAACGTGCCAATAGTGCCAAAATTCGGTTAGCTATATTGAAGTAAAGTATAGAGATGGTAATATAATTTTTAGTGGAGATGTTAAAAATGAAAGAAAGGGCAAGAGGAAAGACTGAAAGCATTAATGAGATTATACGCCACTTTCTACAATCCTGCATCAAAATCGATAAGAATTTCTTAATCGATAGAACTCTTCGCAACATTGCGTGCCTACACAACGAATGAACGCGTCTGTTCAACGTATCTCATTGCGGAATTGTGAAAGTCGTGTTGACATGGACAGCTCATGAAACAGTCGAGTATTTTTAACACTTCATGAAAACAAGTAGCTATTCGAGACAGATTGGAAGTTTATGAAGAGAGTTCGTTCCATGTGAACAGCAAAGACGAAACAAAATATGGCAAAGTTATCAATACAGATTTCATAAAGTTATAAGTTATCATGGCCTGCTCGCCTAGCCAGAAGGGGTGGCGTAAATTGAGACTAAAACAATGTGCACGGAAACGTGAGATTGTGGCCAGCAACGTTACAAACGTTTGATAGCCTGATTGCCAATCCAGGTAAATAAGTTATCAATACTGAGTTGCAATGACTTCATTTGCACACGTTGCAAAAAGTGTTTTAATGATACGTTTTTCAAAAAGGTTTTGATGGAGTCGGATAAATTGCAGGTCTTTACAGATGAGTGAAATTAATATGATCTGAATATCACGTTAGTTCATTCATTTCATTTGATTGATGTACACTCAAATGAATCATTGACGAAGAGCAGAATTTCAGGGGCTGTGACATTGACGACATTGGTATATGTGCTCGAATGAGCAATCTTCAAGTCCTTTCATTGAGGTTATTCGCTTTCTCATCTTATAAATGAGTTCGTAGTTTGAATTCTTCGCTTTTGCTTTATTCAGTAGTCACAAATGAGTAATAACGACTACTGTGGGCAGTACAGAGTGCCATAAACTTACTTTAAAACATTGGAAGGTATGTATGTTTCTGCAGTGATTTCGCTTTTCAGTGAAAAGCGAAATTGGAAAAAAAAGCGTCTTTTTTCATTGGCAAAAAAGCGTCCAGTCGTCTAAAATTTTCATGATTATTAAACATTACTGTTAACTCATAAAATCGAATAAATGATAAATTGATTCTGATTCGTCCAATAAAAATTATAGAACCAACGTTTCAAATCAAAGGAACGAAAAATGATAACGTTAACAGAAATAATAGCAATGACAATTGTCCTTTAATGTTTCAAGTTGACTGGAAGGCTGTTTCGGATACCATCAGAGAGATAAGATGATCCGTTAATGGTTGATTAATGATAATGATAACAACAATAATGTGAGTAATATTGATAAAAAAGATGATAATAAGAGTGATGATATTCCAAGCGAAAATGGTTGGTTTAAGTGAAAAATGTTGAGTGATAATTGCAGTATGAATCGAGTGAGTTGTTTGGAACCACTGAAACACTGTGAACGACTTGAGGAGTTGTATTTGCGAAGGAATGCAATATCGAGTCTGAATGAGCTGGAACATCTGAAGGATTTGAAGAGTTTGCGAACACTGTGGATCGATGAGAATCCATGCACTGCCGATAATGCTCATCGCTCGAAAGTTCTCAGAATTCTGCCAAATCTCACGAAATTGGACGATAAAAGTTTGCTATTGTTCGCATCACTCTCACATTCTTCGCATTAACTCCTAAAAATTCTTTTCTTCGTCTTACAATTGGTGATCAATGACTTTTTAATGGATCATTTTTGGTTTTCGTCATACAAAACGACAATAATTTTAAGTGTGGATGTGTACCTAATCGTAAAGTTGTCGGATTTGAAAAGAATCCATCGATTTCAGTTGTAACCGTTGATGATTTGATGAAAATTCAAGAAATTCATAATCAACAGCAGCAATCAGACTTGAATAACACGATCATTTATTGTGATGGCAATGCCAATAATTTCGACGGGATTCTAGCATCGGCATCAGATGACCGGAGGATCGTTGATACCGTCCTCCCGAATAGCAATAAGATCAACAATAATCAATTGTTAAACCTAGTATCAACTCATTCATTGGATGCGTTGAACGGTGGGGATGAAATTGGTAGTCCTTGTAGAACAGTAATGCATGCGTCTATTTATGATAGTATTATTGAAGACGAACAAGCGAACAATGATGACGATAATGAGCAATGGCATGATTTTGAGTAAGTTTTCGATTTTTGATTACTGATACTTTTATCACATCAACGAAAAACTTGTCACATCGTTTCAGCTGCCAGTTTCGATTGCGTCTAATTGCTTGTTCCATACTGCGCCATAAATCTAGCAGTTCAGTGAGCAACATCCGCAAATAACTGCTTAAATACTCCACGGAAACCGCGGAAACAATCGCGTTTATTCGAGAATTTTCGATGTTCCTTGCCAACTCTTGTCACTTTATTCTTGAAAGTTTTAGATGTTTTGACGCATACGATCAATTCCTTTTGAAATTTTCTCGATTGCATTGAATCGTTCTCAACTTTTTGATGAAACGTTTTAATGGATTCGTTCGTAATGAGTACTCCTCTTGAACGTTAATTTGAAGCTCAGTTTGAATGTATCTTTACCACGTAAGCACTGCTTCAATTTCGGGTGGTTTTGTTCTGTTGTACAATACGATGCTTCCTTGGGTAATTTCGGCTCGGCTTGCTGCGTCGTCGATCCCTATCTTGGAGACATTATGAATCGCGTTTGATGCACTATAGACTGTCATCTCACAAGTACTTCGAACGCTTCCTTTCGACTCAGGAGTGACGATCATTAGAATCTTTTTTATTTTGACTTATTGATTTGGCCGGTTTCTCTTTTCTGAGTTGTTTGACCAGCACATCTTTTATTGTGCATTTGAACAAGGTTGTTCGGTTTATTAAGAGAGCTCTGAGTGTTCGCTGTCATTTTACTGCAGTCTGCAAAACTTTAATGAGTTATTAACCGCAGACGTCGGAGAACGATACGAAAATGAATTTCAGTATAGATGCTGTTCACTGTTCACCACCAACGGAAATGCCCATGTCAATGTCGATGAATCCGCAGATGTTTCAAAGTTTGTATGAGGGATCGCAGAGTGCACGTCACTCGCGTGCATACCGCATGCCGTTATCATTGCAACATCGGAGTGTTAGTGTACCGAGACGAGGATATCCATCCATTTCAAGCAGTCCAAAAAGGGTTTGTTCAATTTTCATTCATTCGATTATACTGATTGTTCTACTGTGCCATGCAAACAAACTTTGCTCTGCTAATCGTACTCTCCAAAACGAAAGATTGTTCATTTCGGTTTAGTGTCAATATAACTGGAGCAGAATATGATACAATGACTAAATTATGAGTGACATTGAATGAAAATTTTCATGCATATCGGAATTTAGCGCCAACGAACGGAAAAAGTAATGTCAGCAGTGAATGTTCTACTGGATGAATTAGATGCAGATGGATTAAGAAGAGTAATTGATGAGGCACAAAAAAGGATAAAGAAACAACGGTGATTGAATGATCAAGTGACAAACACAATTCAGCATGTTCCAATTGCATCACGTGATGATATGTTTATTCAGTTGATCTTACTTTTCTCTCCAAACTACCATCGATGTATGAATGTGTTTCATTTAATCAAAACGTTTTCGTCGCTGTCCTTTGCATAGCACCAACGGTTCTTAATTGTTTCTGCATGAACTTAGTGAAACTTTCAAACCAGCACACATCTATTAGCTGCAGGTTGTACAGTAATCGAGTAGAAACAAACAATTTTTCCAGCTGAATTGATAAACGACAGATTTTTTTCGGTGGCCGGCGACTGAACACCCTTTCGGTGGCCACCGAGTTCGAAGAGACTACTCAGAATACTTCGGCAAAAAAGTTGGCATTTTCGCGAAATTCAAATATTTTGAAGATTGCCGTCACAGCTGAGCACTCTAATTTGAAATGTATAGCGAGACACGGAAAAATGGATGCATATGTGCGAAAGTGGCACAGGTGCAGCAGGTTGACACCACAGAAAGCGAAGCAATGTGCCTTTGTTCAACGGACTGAAGTGGCATTAGTCGGTCGTCGGTTTTCCTCCGATGAACCCATCAACAATTAATTCTCGTTGTGCTTGGTGTTTCCGTCAATTCTTAGACTTATAATTTTGTCACTAACAAACGAACATGAATTGAAGAAACATTATTTTGTCACAACTGATTATGATCAACTGGAATCTATAAAAATCTTTCAATACCACGAAACAAACCAGAAACATCTCAAACATATACAAAACTGATAGCGCATCTGATAACACAGAATCGCTGCCCGTATTAAATAAAGCGAACGATCTGTAATCGTTATTTGCTTGCATATCTGACTTTTAAACGGCATATAACATTCGCTACACTGAAGATAAAGTGGATGCCTTTCGAAAAATTTATTTTTTGATATTTTGATTGTAAACGGAAAAGGAATTTCGCCGAGAGGAAATCAGCTTCTTTCAGGAAGACAAATAAATCTTTCAGTGGAGGAACGTCAAGTTTCGGGATCCTTCGTGGTTTCTGTGAGGAAAAACGACAGTTTGTTAGCAAGCTTGAGGGATGTAGGTGCTTCTCTCGAAATGTTCAGAAGAACCATATGAATTGTCGTTCCCATTATTAAGAGGAGAACATGGAAAGTAATCCTCTATCTGAAATTGCATATTGTATTAAGCTCAAAGTTGAATCCAAAACAGAAAGCTGATTTGTTAAACCTACGATTAATGATTCACAAAGCATCAGCGTATAAGAAACAACTCCTACATATTCAAGATAATCTTCAATATTGTTCCTTTCATCCTTACTACTTGTTTCCATTAGTTCGCTGAAAGTAATTGAAATAATTATAAACCCACATGTGAGAGAATGCTTCACAGCTATTAGCCCGAATGAATCGATTGCCTTTCGAAGGTTAAAGCGAGGCAATGCATGCACGAGGAATCTGCATAGCTCTGAAGGTGAAACATATCGTTTCGCACTTTCGCATTACACACCATTCCCCTTTGGGCCAAAGCAGAGCATCAAACAAAATTCGAGATCACAGATTTGCTCTCGATTTTTTTAGGTGGGAGCCAAAGAAAGTCCACCCGCTTCCATTTGGGTTCAAGATCAATCATGAATACGGCGGTGACGTTGAATGGAACTGAAGAGAGGCCATGTCTTGCAAATTTTGATGGCAGGGAAGAGCTTTCAACATGCTAAAGGCATGCTGAGGAACTCTAAATCTTTATCGGTAAAGGAAGAAGTGTAACTGGTGGTTCCGTTGCTGATAGAGGGCAGCAATTGACATATGAATACGAAACTTAATAAACGGTTTACGATAAAAACTGCGACCAATTTTAATGATTAAATGTTGAGAACAACTTGTCCATAGGGAAACGCATGTTTCCCTTACAATTATTGGACATCATCGGTATTATCTTTGCGTTACTTTCTAAAGAAAAACTCTTTGAAAATGTGTAGAAACATCCAAATTTATTCAGTTCTTCACAGTCATCATGTTAAGAAATCAATTTTGATCAAATGTGGTCGACCTGCAATCCTGCAACCTGCATGTTCTGAATTTTGGCTGATTCCAAGTTTATTCATCGATTTCGATGCATGCGTAGCGATTTCGATGTATTTCGATGAAAATGTGTGTAAGAATCATAAATCATACAATCTGGTTAGTGCTTATCGCGCTATCGCACTCCTCTTCGACGTTTGGCCATATGATGGACTCGTACTCTCCTTCTCGTCGAATAATCCGCGTAATTCTACTGCTCCTTCTCCCTTCTCTGACACCTTGTTTCATGTTGGTGAAGACACCTTATTTCAATTAGAATCATTAAAAATTTATTCAATGATCTGTGAAGTTTCATACCACGAACTCATCGATGGCAGCAACGCAATCATTTCTTTGTCATCCAATATGCGTCCTGAAATATTACTGAACACTCCGAGAGAGATTATTCCAAAAATCAATCAGCAGTGATTTGTCAAAGTCCTAAGCTCCCTCGCGGTACTCTCAAAGTCCCCACTGTGAATTTCTCACCTAAATCTCCTCCTCCCTCATCTGACAAGCAGTGCTCCAGTCAGTGTCAGCAAAATCAATCGAGTGAATTTCAGATGGAAATCTGACGAAATCAATTGCTCAAATCATTTTTATTTCGTAATCAAATGACCTCAGAATTAGGTGACTAAACCATATAATCCTACTGAAATAAGGATAGTTAAATCATTGAAAAAATTGCGGACTTGCATGAAATAAATCACGGGATAAACCGCAGTTTCGAACGAAGACGTAAATAAAATTAAAGAAAGGATGAAACTGATCAATGGTGATCATAATAGTAATTAAAGTGATGATAATGGTAATCCAAAAGCAATCGTCCTAACAACAATTGAATACTCCATATTCGTTGCTTAATCAATAATAATGAGGAAAACACGAAACACCACATCATCGCTGCGTCAGACAAACTTTATTGTGTTGATTTCTGCTTTTATTGTAATATTGTTGATTCTTACAATTAGTGAACGTTGCTGACGGTAGTACACAGTTTATTGCAGTGGTCCTCTTGCTCGAGTGCTCCATAACCCCCTTCGATGGCCGTCATTACCCCTTCCCCGTCCCGGCACAGAAACATACTCTTTTCACGCTTAACGTCAGGAGCAAACGGAAATTTCTCATTAGCATGAAAGAAATTAATTTTCTGGAAGGAAACAAGTACGTATAAAATTTCTTTTGTGTTTCTGGTAACGATCCGACGTTCCGTGCAGCATCCAGAACTACTCAGTCTCTCGAACATTGCGAATTTGTTCATCTTGGCCTTCCTCATCCACTTACAATCAATTAACTTTACTATACATGCACTTAAATCCAAAATGTAAATGTGATCCATCGTACGTCCGCTTTTTTGAATTCACGATTGTTTTTGACTCTGATATGTTAACGAATGCAATCTTGGAGAACGGTTGAACACGACAACATACCTAAGTATCTCATTGATAACTGTGAAAAATAATTTTCAATGTAGAACTCAAAAGCGCAATGACCACACGGTACAAATTTGTCATGAACCACATATCTATACACGATTGAGCAGTTACTTCGTTCAAAAAAAAATCCGTTTACCAACAATATGCAAACATTCCATTATATGCAGTCATTGAAAAACTCACTGAAACTTTTTAGTGCTACTCACTGATAGTAATGGATGAATTCTGAAATAATCGCTCGTCTCTCACCAAACCAATGATCTTTTCTGCTGTACCGAAGAGCTCAATCAGTCCCTACTGCTCATAAGAGGCGATGACAACCAGTATATTCAGGAATTTGTGAAATACTTGCGCTACTTCAAACTGACTTTCGCTGAGCTGCCCCCCCCCCCCACCCTAAGTTCCTCAGGAGATGAAATAAAGAAGGATGTTTCTATGAGTGAACCGCATTCAGATACCCGAGTGAAAAAAAACAGCATTCCAATGGCATTTCATCGTAACATATAACTCCACCAAATATTAGTTTGCCGACCACGTCAATTATCCTCCTGACTAGTGTTCGTCGGGGAGCAGTTTTTCGCATAGGGAGGGGAACCCCGCGGAGAGAAAAATGAACGGGGGGGGGGGTCCCCGCGAAAAAGCCGGGGAGCAAATTGCGCGGGGAGGGGACCTCGTCGGGGAATGACCGCTCCCCATGTTCCCCGACGGAGAGCATTTCAGCTCAATTTTTTAAAACAAAATTCCAATTTTTTAAAGATTTTTCTTCTTTTTTTAAGTAGTTTTCTTTCAAGTGTACCTTATACTCACAGTTCAAAACAAACAACAAGACAATATTGAAAGTGTTGCAGCGGTCTTTCACCATTTTCAGTTGATTGTTCGCGATATTCACGAAGGTTCGTGCTCCCCGTCGGGGAGCGAAACTAGGCTGGGGGGTCCCCGAGAAAAGGTTGGGAAGCGGATCGCCCGGGGGGTCCCAACGGGGAGAAAATTGGACAGGGGGGGGGGTCCCCACGAAAAAGTCAACGAGCAAATTTCGCGTGGGGAGGGAGCGCTCCCCGCGTTCTTCGCCGGGGTCCCCGACGGGAGCCCGTTCCCCGACGAACACTACCCCTGACGCCCCCCTTTACCTCCAGAGGAATAGTCCTCCTCCCCCTCTGAAATACTGGTTTATTGTAGGTATGCTGTCATCAGATTTATGATCAGATCTGCCCATATGTCAGCATTCTTTACATATTAACAATAAAGGATGTTTAAGAAGTTGACCTGTCTGTATTCCTTTCCTATGCCAATACAACCTTATTTTTCTTTTCATCTAGGCGTCCTCCTTAAAATTTCTTACCATCTACGAATTCGTTACCGTTGATGTCTTATACCTATTCATCGGAAATTTTCCGCTGTGGTTTTTTTCTATTCATTTTTTGAAAAAATGAATCATCGCTCTGAAATTCAATCACTATTTACCAATTGCGACAATCCACCCGGCAACAGTAAAGCATTCAAACGAA